TAATCATGTTGAAAAGAAGCCAGTTTAGCGAGTTCTTCATTTCTAGGTTTACTACTCCTAGGAGTAGTATATTGTCGAGAGACACTAACTTGACAGCATGAGTTCTCGATGCACTGATGTAATTGTGTGTACCCTTACTGTAAATATTTATTTATTGCTTGCTAATGTTTCTTATCCCTCGATATGAAATTTAACATGACTGGGATAAGCTTTTCTGAATTCATCTTACCAAAACAAATCCAAGATATACTTAAGAAAATAAAGCGGCCACACTAGGATCCGGCCTTCCAGTTCTTTGATTAAGTCTTTGTTTTAAATTCCACTAGTAATGTGGAAAGAGGGAGGTTTGAAAAAAATTTTTTTCGGGTTAAATAAGCACTGCTGAGTCGATAATATTCTCGCAAAATTCGTCGTCAAAAGGTTTCCGAGTAAGATAATGAGGTCATTTTAAGGCGGCACGAGTCTTATTGAGGACAAATCATTGGAAACAAAAGACTGATGACTGTCGTATAGGTAAAGAAATGTCCTGCGCACAGGAAACAGTACATAAACATATAGAACCTTGCAAGTTTTTGATTTAGTGTACTACTTTTATTTTTCACTTGCCTTGAAGTCACTTTCTATGTCTCTGCTTTTTTCTTATTTATTTTGTTCATTTTTCTTATTGTTTAGCCCCCGTAATATTGCGAATTTTACCTCCTCAATTTAGGTTCCGAATCCTGTCACCTTTGATCATGAAGAAGGAAATGGTAAGTTATTGTTTTTGTTGTTGGTTTCATTGTTGTTCGAATAAATTCAATTTGTTAGACCAGTCATCTTTGTTCGAAAATATGCAAACTCAGAGATGCAGGCTTTGTGAGTTTTGAAAATGTAGCATTTTGTGACAAAGCAACGTGTTCTCAACGGAAAGTCATAACAACATGCCTTACTTCATGTGTTGATAAATCGGGGAATGCCCCTATCAGTATCAGTAAACTCGATGCAGACCTCGGTACGTGTGTCCTTCCTCGTAAGGAATTTAATACTGGAAGCGCGTAAAGCGCAAAACAGCTTGGTAAAGACGCAAAGAAGTGTAATTCTCAAAAATATTATTCCGTTGGTATTATAGTTAAAATAATAGAGTAACTCTAACGGTTAGGAATCCTTTGCAAGCTGCTATTGCTTTTCAAATGAAATATTGGATCGACTATGTTTTCTTATAACAACCCCCTTTGTCAAATTTGTCAATGCTCATCGTTACTTAGAAGAGAAATTGACAAAACTTACTACTCTAAGTCGTGAAGGCTGGGTCTCACCCGGACGATCACAGTTTAGGACCACCACACTATCGTTTCCGAACCATACGCGCCTGCCACTTGTGTTAACTCTCTACCCAGCCATCTCATTATTTCCACAAATATACAGGTGTTTCAGCCCAAAGAGTGAAACATTCAATTGTAAAGCATTCAAATGCAGAATAATTATCACGTAGCCTTGTTGCAGCTCCTAGGAAGAGGAAACTGCAATCTGCAGTTTGTACTGAGATTGAAAATGTTGCGATGGATTTTCCTTGCTGCTACACGCTATGCAGAAAGACTACTGGCATTATATGTATAGGACATCCTTTACACCTTGTTTAATGGGAATTTTGAAAAAAATAAGGAATTAAAACTGGCCTCTATCACTAATCCAACGCCCATGTATCTTGAACAGCCATCACCTATTCCAGCATCGGCAGCTGCAGAATAGCTAGGAGACGTTGTTAATGACCTCCATTTTCTAAATGTTTGTCGGGCTATACGCCACGACACTTGCGTAAGTTCTCAACCCAGCCTGTTATTTCCGCCCAAAGTGTCAAACATTCAATTGTAAAGCATTCAAATGTGGAATCATCGTCACGCAACCTTGTTGCGGCTCTTAGGAAGAGGAAACAGCAATCTGCAGTTTGTACCGAGATTGAAAATGTTACGATGGATTTTCCTTTTTTATTGTACTTTAATCAAGTTTGCATATCACTGTTACACGTTTATCTATGGTCAATTTCGTTTATGCAGAAAGACTGGCATTTCATGTATAAGACATCCTTTGCACCTCAACACCTCATTATAATGGGAATATTGTTAAAAAAAAAGAAGGAATTAAAACTGGCGGCTATTACTAATCCAACACCCGTGTATCTTGAACCATTATGACCTATTCCAGCATTAGCGACTGGAGACTAGCCAGGAGGCGTTGTTAATGACTTCCGTTTTCTAGATGATTGACGGGCCATGCGCCACAATACTTGGGTTAGTTGTCAACCCAGCCATCTCACTAACTCCATTATTATGCAGGTATTTCCGCCCAAAGAGTGAAAAATGAATCATTGCCATGCAGCCTTGTTGCGGCTCCTAGGGGGGAGATACGCCAATCTGCAGGTAGTACCGAGATTGAATATGTTGCGATGGATTTTACTTTTTATTTTATTTTTCTCAAGTTTGCATGTTGCTGTTACACGTTTATCTATGTTGAAATTTGCTCATGCAGAAAGACTGGCCTTATAATTATTAGACATCCTTTTTCGGTATTGAACTATACCAAAAAGAAAAGTCGCCTTTCGCCAGAGAGCTATTCGCCAAAGCCTTCAAGTACCCCTTTTCTTATTATTTATTCTTCCTCCGTTGTTATCCTCAGCTATATATGTGGTTAAAGATGGTGAACCAACAGAAGAAACTTTAGAATTTCTGTCTGTGGAACTTGCAGAAAAATGGGATAAACTAGGAAGACGCCTGAAATTCAACACAACTGCAATAACTAACTTTGTAACTAACTTTGATAAACCCAATGAGGGGCAGGAAGCGAAGGCTTTTAAAATGTTACTGGCTTGGAAACAAAGGGAAGGCAGCAAAGCTACTTACAAAGCTTTGTACGATGCCTTGTGTCACGACTTGGTAAAATGTAAACGTCTAGCAGAAAAGTTTTGTTGCGAGAGATCGTAGGCAATGCCTCTCCTTAGTCTTATATTATAAAGAGTGATTCGTTTCTCTTATCTATTACGTCATTTGTCTTTGTTAGTGCTCCAAAAAGTGTCTGTATCGAGCATTCGCGCTCATTTAGTCGTTCATTTTGTCTTGCGCTCGAAGATAAGATAGATTAGATTTAGAGAATAGATATTTACTCGTATTTTTGCACCCAAGGACCGCTGGCTGAAGAACGTTGATGTCGGAATTCGCCCTGTTACGGGAAAATTTACTGATTCTGCTGTGTTTGTTTGGGATATTTTTATTCGTAAACTTGCCATATTTTATTCAGTTCTTTCATTCTATTAAGTCAAAAAAATTATAAAAAGCCACTGTAGTTTTTGAGTTATAAACTAAGAGATTTTTGCTTTGTTGCGTGCTGTCATTGTACACCTGCATATCGGTAGTTTAGTTCACCATTACTAGTGAAATTTTTAGGTAAATATTAGTGTTAATGGTCTGTGTGGAAAAATTGGTTCTCATGATAGTTGGCAGCTGAGTTTTAATTTCCTTTCATACGATAGTTTCCCGCGCTAACCTTGCATAGATAAGCAGAAATTTTTATTGCTTTTCCACTTTTATTTCCTAAGCTGCTCTATTGTAACTAAGATAGATATATTTTCAATATTAGAGCTGTGAATTCTCACCTAAGTTTCCTGTTTTAAATGGCCTCGAGTTTATTGTATCCGCTTTCTTGACTTTGAAATTCTTCCGTCGTAGAAACAGATGGGAATATTTAAGTAGTTTTCCTTTAACTTCAGAGACCTTATAGGGGAGGGAAACCGGTAAATTCTTCTATGACACAACCAAGATCCTTCGACTACTCTCCCCCCTAAAGACTGATTCCTATACTCTTCAGTTAACTTTGAGGAATTCTTAAAAGGGGAAAGAAAGTTGCAATAAAAATAACTGGAGCTCCGCTTCTAAGGCCTATCTACACTTGATGAGCTATGGTTATCTTCATTTTATTCGATCAGCTCTACAACAGATAAGTTGCAATATTGAAAGAAGCAAAAGGAAAGGAATCAAAAACTTTGACGTAGTATAGATATCAACTTTTTATCAGAAATTTTCCCGTTCGGCCCTTTAACACAAGCTAGAAGTACTTAACATCACTTTATATAAATGAACTTGAAATTTGCGGCTTACCTTAAAATACTCCAAGCTTTTCGCAGAAAAAAAAAAAATATGAGGCGCACTGACTAAAATTATAATAGGTATATAAAGTGCTTCATTTGTGTAAATTACATTTGGTAAACGTCGCTATCAACTACCGACGTCAACTACTCAACTCGATAATGTTTAGTGTAGGATATCTACAGACATTTATAAATAATTTTCCAATGGACTGTGTCAGCGTTACAGAATTTCTATGATAAGTGACTCCCTAACTCGGCAGCTATACATCTGTTGTTTAGTTCCACAAAAACGGACATCGGCGATCCCATTCTCAAATTGAAATTGAGTGAATAAACATCAGTTTATGACAGAAAATTGCATAAATTAACGTCAGAGATCACTTGAGGGACGTGATCACGAATCTTTTACAGAGCCCCAAAATTTTTTGTCCACAAACATAATGTTAAGATAGGTCTTTCCTGTGATGGCATGTTTGTCGACATACTATGTTGCCAGTTACCTATTGCAATTTAAAAACCCTAATTTTTTATTTTTTGGAGTAGTTGGTGACACAGTTAAGGATTGCATGCTTTAAATTGGCAGAAGTTGTATCAAATTACCCCAACTTTTATGAATGGCTTCCGTAAGGTTCAAACACCCATTGGAATTAAGATTAAAATCTATCGCATCCTGTTAGTGTGAGAGAGATTCGCTGGAGGTGCATTTTTCGAGCTGGTTTTAGCCTTTTACCTTTTTATGGCTTTCCTCATTACATAGACACACAGGTGGAAGTTGTTACAACTTAGGCCGAGGTCCAGTGTGAGATCATCAACCTACCGTCTGTACCCACATGTTCTACGCCTCTGTGTAGTCCTGTTAAGAGTGTTGGTGATCGCAGTGACGATGATCAGAAAGAGCTGGACTATATTTCAAAAAATTTATCTCCCTGACGACTTGGTGGAAAAGAAACAGAGGAGGAGGAAAAGAAACCGAACAACTTTAGAACTTTCGAGGCAGAAAAAGATTCTGTCTTAGATTTCACATAGCTGATTTTTTAATAAATTTTATTATACGTTGTGGTCACTTTTTGTTTTGTTATAGGACATCCTATTGTAAAAGAGTGAAAAAAAATTCATCGTCTTTTTTTCCTGCTTGATGCAACTCTTTGAGTTCTGTCCTCTGTGCACTGAGCCTTCTACATCTGAGGTATCTAATGTGGTAGGCACTCTTATCCACGTCACCCAAAAATGTTTAAGCTGCAGTTATGCGCGTGTTTGGAGAAGCCAACCATACATTAAAAAGATACCGGCTGGAAATCTGTTGCTATCCGCTGCTATTCTTTACTCTGGTAGTATGATCTCCCAAACCCTAAGAATGCTGAAAATTCTGAAGGTCCAGTGTTTTAGCCGCCAGACCTATCATAAACATCAGAAGAACTATCTCATACCTGTTGTCATAAAAATGTGGAAGGAAGAGCAGGAGAAATTGGTAGAAAGAGTACGTAATTTAGGTGGTGGTGTTGTTCTTTTGGGGGATGGTAGATCTGACAGCCCAGGTCACAGTGCTAAGTATGGGGCATTTACGGTCATTGAACAAAGGATCAACAAAGTGTTGGATGTTCAGCTTGTTCAAGTAAGTTATCCATCTAAAGGCCACTACTTCTGCTTTGCCATAAGTAAACTGTTTAATAATTAAGACTAAAACTAATTGATCTAAATCTTTTCAAGTCTAATGAGGTGCCAAACAGTTCCTGGTGTGAACATGAGGGCCTTCTTCGTCTGGAGACATTTTTTGCTGGGAAAAACCTTGACTTGGCTGCTATATAACAGACAGAAATCGTCAAATTGCAGCCCACATACGAAGGAATATGGCACCCAAAGGAACCAGACATTATTATGACATCTGGCACATTGCTAAGGGCAAGTTAAATGGCATTAGTCTGTGAAACTTTCATAATACAATTATTTGGGTATATGTATATCACTGAGGAAAACTGAAATCATTTGCACATTTTGGAAGTTTTGAGTTAACATTCCTCATCCATTTTCTTTCATTAAAGGAATTGGTAAAAAGATTGATGCCCTCGCAAAGCAAAAAGATTGTGAAAATGCTGGCCTGTGGAGGAGGTCTATCATAAATCACCTCTACTGGATGGCTGCAACTGCAACAGAGGGCAATGGGGACATGCTAGAGACTATGTGGAAATCACTGACTAACCACATTCAAGAAGTTCATGAAGGACATAGTGAATTATATCCAAAATGTGCCCATGGCCATCTAGATGAGGATGATTGAGACAAGGAGTGGCTCCAACCATGTGAGATATACAAGTCAATAAAACTTACAAAACTACTGTTTTGACAAGTGTTTTTCTTATGGTGGCAAATGTTGTTTTACTTTATATTTGCTTTTCAGCATCGAAGGTTTGTGAGAAATTAACTGACATCCTACTCAGCAAGTCCCTGTTGAAAGACATCAGATGGTATCACCTCTCTACCAGACTTCTTCTCTGGAGGTACTTCACAGTCTTGATATAATATTTGCACCCAAACATACTGCTTTTGCATTCTTAGCTATGTATGCCAGGTAAATTGCTGAACAAATTATACAGAATGATAAAACCATCCTTTGCTAGAACTTGTGACAATTTAAATGTAACAATAAACAAGATACTTTTTTTGAATTTCAATTGATAGACTTTTGTTGGCTGCCCTTCACTACAATGAAAACAGTGATCGTTTACAGGCAGTGACAAAGGATGGAAGACCCTGCTACACAATTAGGTTCCCAAAGTTCAAAAAGGGAGAGTATTCAGTGCGAAAGGAAAAGACATCTGCTACTTATGGTACACTACTGGTCTCTCTTACTATTTAGCAGAACTAAAAGTATTTGATTTGTTTGTTTCCTTGTTTTAACCTCGCTTTTTGTCCTCTTCAGTTCTATTCCCTGATATTTTACCTTTCTTTGGAAGAAGTCAAATATTAACAAGTACAGCAATTGTGTTTGTATAATTTAAATTTTATAACCCGACAAGACAAACAATTACATAACTCGTGAATATTTATTATTCCTAGGTTATACTGAGGCTTTAATTGAAATGTTGTTATTGGAGTATGAAGAGGACCAAGGGTCATTAAAGAATTCTATACAAGATGTAAGGGAATCCATGCCAGCACCACTTGCTGCTTCCTTTGAGAAGCCCTGCAAAGAAACAGCACTTCAAGAATATGTCTCGGTTTGAACAGCGGTGAAAGTTCATTCAAAGGTCATTAGGACGATATTTTTACTTTGAATATAGCTCACAAGATTCTAAGTTCAGCTTGCAAAACTATCTTTCTGTATTTCTAATCGAAGCAAACACAAACAGGGTTCGATAATTGCACACTTGGAAATCTACACGTGACAATACGCTTATCAATAATAGTGCTTCGGAGGTGAAGGAAAGCAATACATAAATGTCTCCTGACGTACAGGCTCAACCGCTAGTGCTGTAAGACATGAATAATTATGATCTGCATTAACATGCACCTTTGTTTCTCTCAAAGGTGAGGCGGTTTTAATCCAGTGTAAGATGTTCCAAACTCCGCTGGAAAAGTGCTTCGGATTTTGTTTACCGCGCAAGATGGCAGAGCGACCCTTACATGTTTGCTAAGATAATCCCAGCACCCGCGAACAATCTAGCGAACAATGTAGCGAAATTTCCTTTGATTGAGGCGGCCGCAGCGCACGGGCCCATGATCCTCTTCTGACTCTCGCGCTCTATTTAACAAATAGATTCCAAGTTGCCGTGCGTCTGTTCAGTAATAGATCACAGATGATGTCAAAATGTGGTAAGAACACAAAAGTGGCACACGAGGCGCAGCCGAGTGCGTCACTGATGTTCTTACCACAACACATCAGTGACACACTCGGCTGCGCCTCGTGTGCCACTTTTTTGTTCTTATCACATTTTGACATCATCTGTGATCTATTATTGAACAGACGCACGGCAACTTGGAATCTATTTGTTTTATATAATAAGGAATTAAAATATACGGGAAAAAAGTTTTAATGATGACGTTTACTTTACTAACACGTCACTTTTGAGCCACGTCACTTTTCCACTTCGGCCACTTTAAGGGCTTAGGAAAATACGGGATGTTGAAGAAAGCTGGCCGTTAAAGGGAGATGACAAATTATTTTAGAGAGGAATGAACATGATTGTCATATTCAATAAGAGCCGAGAATAGTGGAAGTTCGAACGTAAGATTAAACGAGATGAAAAAATATCTTTGCTTGCAAACGTTTATTTCTATGAAGTCTAAATCAATGGGATGTGTACCAAAGATATCACAGGAAATCGTTATAATGTTATGAATTAAAAAGTAAGAACTTAAGCTCTCTAGGAGCAAGTAGACTGAATTAAAAAACTTATTAGGTCACATAAGCCCCTAGAAGCGAATTTCACCTCTAGCTAAAACTGGCGTTATATCATTATCTGTCCTAAAATCAAAGCAGGAACATTTTTGACGAGCTAACACTTGGTTCTCTTACATAAACTGATACTGCAGTTTCCCGACCATAAAATGACTGTCCAACTAATACTGGAGGGACGACAACAAAGCAGAGACCAAGGAAGCCAGGTGTATATGTGAAAAGGGTAGAAAGGCGGAATTCATTTGCGTGGGTTGTTTCATTGATTACAAAAAATAAGGTAATGCAAAAAAAGGAAAGTATCAGCAAAATAGAAACGCCCCAAGCTGGATTAACCATAATACCCACTGCAACCCAACTCAAATGGCAAATAACAAAGCTCGTGCACATAATAAGCAGTAATCTGCTCAAAAATGAACTAATATCCAAATCTTCACAACAAAGGCAGTTACAACAGCATATCCCCTCACTAACCATTCTGGTATAAGTGCAAGGAGTACAATAAAGTCTCGCGACGTATTTCCTCTTTTTGAAATTTCGGTGGATGTCCTCGCTTTAGCTAAAACAAATATGACCTCTATGAGCAACAGGAAACAACAAAATAGAGTTGCTGAACATATCAGTGGTTCTTCGTTTCTACGACAAATATAATCCACCCTACTACGGTTTCCATCGCTACCCGCGGAGAGTGATGTACCTCGAGTATCATCTTTTAAGTATTGTAAGACCCAAAAATATGAAAATGGACCCCAAAACATAGGACACAGGAAGGAAAACCACAAAAATACCCTTTAGTAAGAACGACCAGTAGTCTTCATGTCTGGGATGTGCCCTTCTATGACAGATTCTGCAAAATTCAAGCGTGGATCTCGCAAGTCAGGAGTTACAGCAAGGTCTTGAAGCTGAAAAAAAATTATACATTAGACGTGACTATAAGAGTGGAGCGTGAAAGAGTAAAAAACCGTTTTCGATAATAGCAGAAGTATTTTATTCAAGCAGTTCTGGAGATAGTGATCACTGACGGAGGTTTCGACAACCTGAGCGGAAGTCATCATTTTCGATTTAAAAGGCCTTTAGCAGTCATTAAATTAGACGTTGTAAACCGCTCATGGATTTTCCGATAGCAGAAATCTTACACATATGTTATGATATATATATGGCCCTGGCCTGATCCTCCGACGGTACGTCCGAGCTTGCTCCGTTCCCCCTCTTCCCGTCTAATAGGTTGACTAGAGGCTTGTTCCTGACGTAATCGATATTGTATATCATTAGCCAATTAGATAACTCGTACCAACTGATTCAAGAAGTTGAAAAATAAGCATTTCCACGTGGGTCGACGAAGGGTTTTCCATCATCGAAATTTGATGGGATTTTTCTAAAATTTTTTCAACTTGGACGCGTAAAAATGAGTCCTTTGGCGATCCGACGCGGTGAAATGTCGAGGGATTAAACGTTTTTTAAAACGTCAAAAGAATGACAATTGCTTGCTAATTAATTGACGAAAATATAACAGGCGAATTTAACGAAGTTTAACACTACCTGTAGGCAGAGAAAGGAAAAATTTTTGCCTGCCCTAAGAACCAATCGGGTCGCCGGCCTCGTTACTATGCCCTCTAAAAACAAAATGATAGAATCTTACAACCCTAACATAACCTTACAATTCTTGCAGCCTGACTGATAGCTACTCCGTAACCATTGCTAAATGAATGGCATAAGACAAAGAAAAACCTAACAAAAGACAAAAATTGGTCGACAAGATCAAGTTTTCTGACCGCCAAGGCCCGATATCTGAAACAGTAAGTGAACACAGACAACTGGAAAAGCACAAAAACTAGGCTAGTCTGTAACATTTTAATGAGTTTGAGCGAGTTAATATAACTGACCCTCTCCACACAGGGGACAGTGGCCTTTGTAAAGAAATATCCCTCGTAGAGCTAAGGTTGTAAAGAGATACCCGTTTGTTACGGAGTGTAAAAGCTTTTCATTTTCAAACTACGTAGGAAAGCATTGTGACTAACCATTTGAATTAAGAAACTTTAATCCAAAATCCTTCACGAGGGCTTTGAGAAAACTCGCACAAAATTTTACATTGTCTAACCTGACACTGAGACCAAAAATCGAAAAACTGAACCAGATAAAGAGGTTTTAACTCGGTGACCTCGTGGCACCGTTCGAGCATGCCGCCACAGCGCATGCACGAAAAACTTAGATGACCCGTATGGGAACCCAGGCTACTGCTGGGCGTCGACCAGCCGCAACAGCGTATTGATACACAAACCACTCAAATTGTATCAGTGAGGATGATTCCGAAATATTCTTGTACAAAAGAGAAATGTGAACGTGACGGTTTAGGCAAAGTGAGATTTAAATTTAGTTGAATGAGTGCCTTTTGTATTACGGACATTTTTAATTATTTCTACCATGGAAAATTGTCAAATACTTGTGAAAAAATATTTCGTGGTTAATAACATGCTGCATTTCGTCTCGGCTAAGAGACTCATCAGAAATCTTTCGGAATTTTTAGGCAAACTCGTTGAGCATTGCGCTTATATCTTGAATTCGCGAATGGGACTTTGTATGCTGATATAAAATAGCTAATTCAAATACTTACGGCAGCCAGTACAGTTTTAATCATTCTTTTCCTGTCTTTTACAGAAACATTGCAGCAAAAGTATGAAATTGTGATGTTTAGTTCTTGCGTGTGTGGAGTCACCAGAATCGAGAAAAGGGATGAGATCTCCAGGAAAACATCGGGAAAAGCAGCATAAAGGCTTCTCGAACTCCATATGTATTTCATTGCAGCAGGCATGGAATCGCTGCCTTTTTTTTCTGGTCCATTCTGACCATATACATTGACAGAGACTAGAACTAAGGAAGGCTCATTTGCCGGATATAAGGCGGATTCGATGTTAAAACTGTTCACATCTGATGCTAAGGATTTGTAGATGTCAGCATAGGCTTCAATACAAATAGTGGCGTTGGTGCACTCACTTATTACGTCTGCTCCGGTGCAGATAAAAACACTGCTGATCAAATGAAACGCAACGTAGACAATTATGGATGTCCTTTGTGTCACTCACGCCATTTTCTCTTTGATCGTCGATTGGAGGGTTTTTCTGTACCAAAAGAGTTAAAATGAAATAAGGTTAAACCCTTTTCGGAAAGTTATAGAAGCAGATCAATCATGAAAGGCATTATTGTAGTAATTCTGGGAGAATAATGAGCAATCCTTTGAAAAGCTTGAAAAATTTAGCTGGAAAAGACAAGAAAAGATGGGATCTCAAAGGAGGTGAGGTTATAGAATGGTAAGTACTTAGAATCCGGCAGAGGTAAAAGAACGTTCGGCAAATTGCATTTGAGTTCGGTAAGCTACCAAAATCGAAAAGCGTTTTACGTGTGGTTGTTACGGTCATTAGATGTAGATAGAAAGATACATGGATAGAGATATAGATAGATAGATAGATAGATAGATAGATAGATAGATAGATAGATAGATATGCTTTGTACTCAGACAAATGACTAAATGGGGTAAAGGCCCATTGTCACCCTTGATGCAACGCACGCCGGGACCCAATTTCCTGTAACACGAAATTCTCAGATTACTGAACACCTTCAACAATCGTTTTCTCAAGAACCATCCTGGACTTAAAGTCAACTGTTTTACGGTAAATACATTCGCGGTTCGTCACTTTACAGTTTTGTTACAGTGTTTTGAATTTTATCCGGTAGAATCCGAAGAACATTTTTTTTGAAGCGTCACGCTTAGATCTCTACTTACATTGTGTACAGCGGGGTCGGCGTAAAAGACAACGTTCAAATTTTTTCACTTTCTAGATGCACTTAAGGATTGAAATATGGAAACTATCAGACTGCCGGACGCTTAGTTAGTCGGAGACCTTGTCCGGCAGCGTCCGAAGAAAAAAAAAAGTGTCACGCTTGAATCGTTCGAATTTCTTCACTTTCTAGAAGCTCTTGAGGATTGCAAATGTAGTTAGAATATTTTCCAAGGAAAATTGGAATATTTAAAAAAGAAATAAGAATTATTGGAGGACCGGCCTTGTCATTGAAAAGTTTTTAAGTGTCAAGCGCTTGGATGGCTTTGTACTCTGTACACAGGGTTGGCGAAAAACATCAAGTTCGAAATTTTTGGCTGCCAAGAAGCGCTTGAGGGTTGTAAGGGTAGAACATTTTTGTACAGACACTTTGAATTTCCAAGAGAAATATGGAAAAATATCGGACCTCAGGACGTTTAATTAATTGTTTTCAGGCCGTGTCCGGCCGGCGGACGTTTGGTCACTTCATTGCAGGAACGTCAGCAACACAGACAGTTTGCGTTACAGTTCTTATTTGCTGCTTTGTATGGACAACAACCTTGACCAATCAGAGGCGCAAAACAAACGACCGCGTTTCATCAAGGTTGGAAGTGGGCCTTTAAGAAACTGTGCTGCTGTGTCGGTGGAAGAGTAGAATTATGCCAGTTTCGCCCCGTGTAACTTCGACCCGTGTCAACTTCAAGTTCGACCCGCTTCAATATACATGTGTTTTTATGTCTACCGTACATTTTATGTCCATTAACATTTGTATTTATGCAACGGATTTATACTTAAAATTAATTACGGAAAGATACGGAGGCAAGAATTGTGTAGATTTCATGCAAATCAGACAATTTATCGAACGTATCTTTACGTTCATGTACATGTGCCAAGCATGTGCAGAGTGTTTTTCTGTGTTTTGCGTATACAAAATGCTTTGATGACGCTTTTTTTAGAGAACAAAATACAAAATCATTATTTGTGGTGTATTACCCATTAGTGCATCCGTCGAATACTTTTGATTTTAAAAACAAGTGTTTTATGTACGTAGAGCATTTCCCTGTGGGTTGCACAGGAGTAGGGAGGGGGGTAAGGAATTGAAACTTCAAAACGATTTGAAGATGATAAATAAGTATGTTTTCTTGTTATGATATCAGCTTATCTGATAAATATTTCTCTTCACTTTCTGTAGGTGATCTTCCACACAGTGGCCTAGAAGTTGGGAAAAGAGATGCAAGGGAAGAAAGTGAGTCTGCACCAGGTGGGTGAATGAACATGTGACATTGCAGGTTATGCCCTAATTTGGTTCTTTTCTGAAAAATATGCTTGCGTGATATTGTTTGAACTGTACAACAGATCCCAGAAAGTCAGAGAGTAGAGTTATAAAATACATCTGTAACATTTAATGCTTAAGTGTTGTTGAAAGAGTCTTGTCTAACGTCTATGACCAAATACTGTGTTTCCTCATATAAGTGCCTCGACATATTTCCTCTTCGTTTAACCCCTCTTTCCGTCAGAGGTGGCTGTAAGTGTAAACAGCTTTTTCCCTACATCTTCCGCACTGAATTTTTAATCAGTTAACCTATATGAACAGCACGTAGTTCTTTTGGGGGCGGTACCTTGGGTACGCCCTTTCTTATCCGAATTTTGTGTTTATTTCATCATTAAGTGACAGTCTTTAAGGACTATTTCCTATTAAGATATCTTTATAATTATGATTTTAATTCTGTTAGTAAGTTTACTATAATTTTTAAATTACCAATCTTGTTTTAGTTTTGACCAACCTTGACTGTAAGAGTCAAAAATTTAAGGTAGATGATTTTTTTTAGCGTAAACATCTCGAAGGTACCTACATAGTATGCAAACTCTGCTCTGCGTAGCTTAATGTGATTCGCTAGTTAAGTGTTAAAAAAGATGACGAAGATCAGAGATTGACAGCTCAGTAAACGTCACTTCTATAAGTGGTGGCCCACACTTTCCTTGCAAGAGCAGAACTAGTCCTCGAACTGTAAAGTTTGTCAAGTTATTACTGAACGAAAGGAATGAAAGGAATTTCAACTAAGGAGTGTTAGAGGACTTAAACTTCTGACATTGGCACAACCTGTGTGCAGAGATAGGAAAATTTTGCCTGCCCTAAGAACCTAAAAATCAATCGGGTCAGCGGCCTTCTTACTATGCCCTCTTAAAACAAAATGATAGAATCTGCAACCCTAACATAACTTTACAATTCTTGCAGCTTGACTGACAGCTACGCCGCAGCCATTGCTAAATGAATGACATAAGACAAAAACAAACCTAACAAAAGACACAAAAAAAAGGTCTACAAGATCAAGTTTTCTGACCGCCAAGCCCCGATATCTGAAATACAAAGTAAACTCAGACAACTGGAAAAGCACAAAAACTAAGCTAGCCTGTAACATTTTAGTTTGAGCGACTTAATATAATTGAACCTCTCCACACAGGGGACAGTGGCCTATGTACAAAAATGGCCCTCGTAGAGCTAGGGTTGTTATAAGATACCTGTTTGTTACAAAGGGTATAAACTTTTCATTTTCAAAGTACTTTGGGAAGCATAATAATACATAAACTACTCAAAACTGTGTACCAATGAGAAAGATTCGGAAATATTTTTGTACAAAAGAAAAATGTGAACGTGACGATTACGTACAGTGAGATTTAAATTTAGCTGAACGAGTGCCTTTTGTATTACGGACATTTTATTTCTACCATGAAAAATTGTCAAATACTTATGAAAAGATACTTCGTAGCTGATAACACGCTGCGTTTCGTCTCGGCTAAAAGACTCATCAGAAGCCCTTCCAAAATTTTTCAGCAAACTCGTTGAGCATTGCGTGAACATCTTGAATTCGCGAATGGGACTTTGTGTGCTAATATAAAATAGCTAACGGAAATACTTACAGCAGCCAGTACATTTTAAATCATTCTTCTCCTGTCTTTTACTGAAACATTACAGAAAAAGTATGGAATTGTGATGTTTAGTTCTTGCGTGCGTGGAGTCACCAATATTGAGAAAAGGGATGAGATCTCCAGGAAAACAGCGGGAAAAGCAGCATTGAGGCTTCTCACACTCCTTGTGTATTTCATTACACCAGGCACGTAATCGTCTCTTGTTTTATCGGGTTAATTCTGACCATATATATTGACGAAGACTAGAACTGAGGACGGCTCATTTGCCGGATACAAGGCGGATTCGATGTTAAAACTGTTTCCCTCTTATGCTAGGGAATTTTAGGTGTCAGCGTAGGTTCCAATACAAGTAGTGACGTTGGCGCACTCACTTAATACGTCTGCTTTGGTGTAAATAACAAGACTACTGATCAAATGAAACACAACGTAGACGATTATGGATGTCTTTTGTGTCACAAACACCATTTTCTCTCTGATCGTCGATTGGAGTTTTCCAGTGCCAAAATAGTTAAAATGAAATAAGGTTAAACCCTTTTCGGAAAGTTATAGAAACAGATCAATCATGAAAAGCATTATTGCAGAATAGAGATTATCAGAATGCTATATAACTTAAGAGGGGGGATCATGTAAACTTAATTGTGACCCAACCAAAACCCTCTGACTATCCCCTCTCAGGCGACCGGTCCATAACATTTCGAGCTCGAGTTGTCAAAAATTCAAGAGAACAAATGATCAGAATTAAATACAAAAAGGCTTTACCGATTTTTCTTCATGAAGTGTAAATTTTAATCGAAATAGGCGGAAGTTGAGTCAGTATCAAACAAGAAAACTCGTTATGGGCCAAGTAAGCAGCAAGGTTATATGAAAATGCAATGCAATGTAATAAAATAACCGTGAAGCAGTGAAACCTGAATTGGACCGTAACTTACTTATTCTATTATCCTTAACTCACATACAGTCATGCTTTTGCGCCCATGGCTTCGTTAATTACTGTTATTGACCGGCTGAAAGTTCTAAGTTTTTTCGGTAGGTGTGGTCGATAAATAAGAACAACTTGAAGGACAAGAGGTTAATTAGACGTAATCTAATTAATGTGCAGATCTTTGCTTTTGAATAAAACCTGCATTGGTAACTCAAAAAAAAATTTAGAAATGCCATAGGTTTTCATTGAGTAAGCGTGCGAAGAGAAAATTGAAATCACTTACCTCAAATCTGAACTTTTTATTTAGATGAACATCTTTTTGGTCAAGAAGAGAATATTTGTGCTACAAAGGATGGTATGGATAAAAAAAAGGAGTATGGCAAAACGTTTTAGTGATGCAAAAGCACAAAAGAA